CCATAGACTTGTACTCATTCAGTCTAAGTCTAGTCTATTCTGAGTCCTGGCAGGAAAATAAAGGGTGTGGGGAAGAAAGTGAAAGCAAGATGATCGTTTATCTAATGTTAATGAATACATTGTATTTTATTTTGGTTTGAAATATGACTTGTGTCTAAATTCTGTATCAGAAGACTCCACTGAACATCTGCTTGCCCAATTATAGCTGACAATTTCCCAGAATTTCACAGCAGGATCATATAATTTGTCTTTCTCGCTACCCTTAAATAGCATGTACACCAAACTTCTGTAATCCTACTTTACAAAAAAAATTACAAGCACCTTCTGAACTTAAGCACAGAGGAAAAAAAAGCATAACTATTTTAGGTTTGAGCAGGTTCATTACTGAAGATAAAAAGATGATGATAGAAAGATCTGTTTCTCACCAGAACGTTTACTTGAAATGTGGATGATGTGGAATTCAGGTGCCTTTGGAAATCCCTGTGGGTCACTAATCTGCATGCTAGAGACATGCAAAATTCTACAAAGTCTAGAACTGGAGCAGTGCACTTTTCCTTAGTAGTAAGGTTGTAAAATTAGCAGTACAAAAATGTACCTTTTTCTTACAACAAAAAAAGGCAGCAGGTACTATAAATGATTTGCAGGATTGAGTCCAGTGTACTAGCAAGGACAAGAGCATTCAGTAGCTGGGAAGTGTAAGACTTTGAACATCTTGCCCTTAACTAACACAATTTTTTTATCTATTAAATTATTCCCAGGTAAAAATGTCTGCAAATCAGTCAGCCATGGCTGTGAGCATATTTGTGTTAGTGCTGACAATTCCTACATTTGCAAGTGTCGTGAGGGATTCGTCTTAAGAGAAGATGGCAAGACATGCAGAAGTGAGTGACCAGTGTCTATCGAACATTTTTGCGTGTGCATCAGACAAGGAAAGAAAGGGGTTTTTCACTTCTTAATGGAAAAAAAAACCCCTTCCTTTTGATATCTACATTTTTTTAAGATGTTTTCATTCAAAACCTATATTTATATCAATCATTCCCAGGACGGGACATCTGCAAATTAGTCAGCCATGGCTGTGAGCATATTTGTGTTAACGAAGATGACTCGTATGTTTGCAAGTGTCATGAGGGTTTTCTGCTGAGAGAAGATGGGAAAACATGCAGACGTAAGTACACTGATAATTACTCATAGACTTTTATCTATAGTATGTAGATCTGTGGAAGTGTTCTAACAAATACAACAACAATTTACTGTTATAGGAGTTATTATATTATATATTATAACAATATTATATATTGTTATACCTGCCACAAGCTTGTAAGAGACTCTGTGGACAGAAATAAGTGTATTTTAGTAGCCAAACTGACATGACTGGAGTCAAAAAACTCTCAATTTTTCAGGTACCAAGAGTTAGAAGTGTTTGCTGCTTAAATTTTTACCCATTTCTTCCAGTGCTACCAGCAGACCTAATAAAAGCTATTACTTCTCCCTGCATGGTACATTTGCTGTAGATGTGCTTTAACCACATATCATTAACTGTTCTCAGATAAAGACATCTGTAGTTCCCTTGACCATGGCTGTGAACATGTTTGTGTTAATACTGATGAGTCATACATCTGCCAGTGTTATGATGGATTTGCACTAAGGGAAGATGGAAAAACATGTAGAAGTAAGTGTCCTTATCTTTAATAGAATATTTCTTTTATAATCTGTGCATTCGTAGACCTCTTTTAAATATTGGCAACCTTTTTTTTTTTTTTTCAGATAAAGATGTTTGCAATTCTGTTGACCACGGCTGTGAGCATGTTTGCGTGAATACAGATAGCTCATACGTTTGCCAGTGCTATGAGGGTTTTGTATTGAGGGAAGATAAGAAAACGTGTAAAAGTAAGTTATTTTATGTTACTGTATTTTTTGCACCCAGAGGTCTACTGAAGAAACAGATTGTGTTGGAAGTAGGTCTTCTTATAGGAGATTTTGCCTGACAAAAAGGGAAGATAATTTTTTCATTTACTAGGAGCTTATTACTTTTAGTCTTTAAAGTTTTGAAAATGTTCTCATTCATCAACCTGTATTAAATAAAATCTAAATTATTCTTAGATAAGGACATCTGCAAATCAGTCAGTCATGGCTGTGAACATCTTTGTGTTAATAATGACGATTCATACACTTGCCAGTGCCATGATGGATTTGTACTAAGGCAAGATGGGAAAACGTGCCGAAGTAAGTAGCTTATGAATAAAAGAAGAAATATCATTTTCCTTTTATTAGGAGTTATTCACTGATTCATAGTGGTCAGAATGGAATATTGTTCTCTATAGATCATAAGACTTCTATGAATTAATTATTGTTTGAACTAAAGATACAAATTCAGACAATTTCAAGGTTTGAATGTAGCTTTTAAAATGTGAACTTCATTTCTAGATTATGTTGAGTTTTAATCTCGAGCATAGGATGTGGCTGCATTTTACTTTGATAGGTTGAAGTTCTAATTGCCACTTTGTTGTTCTGTATATATTCATGCAGATCATTACTTAACCCATTCCTTAACCTCTTAGCATGTTCTGTTGCAAATGATAAACAGACGAAACTCCTTCAGGCTCTTTATATGTTTTCTGACCTTTTCATAAGTCTCTTCTTGCTCACCTAAAACCCGCTATTTATCAGCATCCTTACGGGAGTGGTACAAAGTCTTCTAATAGGCGACAGCAGGGTCCAGGGTAGAGAAACTATGACCCACCTAATTCTTATTTGAATCCACCTATCTTTTTTTATCTTTTATCTTTTTTTTAATCTATCTTTTTTTAAGACCAAAGATAGCATTAGTCTGTGAACAAAATATTCTGCTAGCACTCATGTTCAGTTAGTTATCTACCGTCATTATAAACTGTTTAAGACTCAGTCACACCGGTGTCCCACATCCTATAGTGCAGCCTTCGTTCTTCATTTCTAAATGTATAAGCTTAGTTCTGGGTATTTTAAAATACATATGATTTGCTGTTATCCAGCTTGCAAAAAGATTATAGCAGCAGCTGCTCTATTTCTATTTGCCATTCTCTCAAAACTGGAGTAACCTTCAAATTTTGTCAGTGATTATTTTTTATTTTATTTTTGTTTGTTCATAAAAATGTTTAGTAGAGGAGCAGTGCAAATTCTTAGAAAGAGAGCCACTTGTTCTCTGATTTACAATTTATTCTGAAGACCTCTCTAGCCAGTGTTAAGCCATATAATATTGATTCTGTAGTCTGTTTTCTTAATCAAGATAAATACCAAGACTGAATATTTTTAACATTTCTGCATTAATATTGGCAATTTACCATTTCTATTAATTAACAATACATTGTTAGAATGCTTTTTGTTCCCAATAGTCTTTAAATAAGTTACTCGTACTATCCTTTATTTTCTTGGCCACGCACCCCCTTGTCCGTTATCATATTATTTCAGTGTTTTCAAATTCCTAATATTTTCATGTTCAGTAAATACTGTGAATGTTCCTTTCTTTCAATTATCATTCAAATCTTATAGCTGTTTTCAATTTCTAAATGAAGTTGCTTTTTTAACTACTCTGGCATTCTTATTAGATTATGGGACTACACTTTTGGGGGGTATGTAGTAAAATAACCTTAAACAGTGCAATCATTCACTTTTCTTTTTATTATTATGCCCCCTCCATCTCAAAATCCTCTAGCTCATATTTGCTTTCAGCTATGTAAAATTCATCCTTCTGAAGTAACAGCCATGTCTGCTGCTGGTTTGTATTTGATTCTGTTTATAAACAACAAATGTGTCTGAGTTGCACACAGCTGTGTATAAGCAGATGCTAATTTTTCCTTACATGATAATTTCTTTTTTATCTGCTATAATGAGATCTAGTCTAGATTGCTATGTCTTAAATGCAGTGCTCGTTGAGTTAGAAGATTGTGCTTTGTAGTAGTTTTTGGACTGTTTGTATTGGCAGCATGAAACGTCCAGGTAATTTGGCTCAGATTGAATTTCTTGTAAAAATGAAATCCCTACACATTAAACTTAAGTCTTTTGCTGAAAAGTCAGTCTGAACTTGTCTGCCAGTACTGTTCTACTTTCTATATAAAGGTAGTTCTCCATTAGAAATTGAGAATATTTTCTTTGATGTTGCAGTGAAAAAAAAACAGAGAATACTGATAGATGGCTCCACTTCCTTCTATACTTTCTCCCCATATGTCCTGCTTGAAGAGGTTTTAACCAACTGGTTTTAACATTGCAGTCATACAGATCCTCCCATCAATTTTCAGCAATACCAGTTAGATTTTATGTATCTCCCTACATGAGTAGTTCCTATTCTTCTGAGGTTTGTTTATGCAGACTCTTGGCATTGGTGTAGGGATGTCAAAGAATTATTTTGCTTCATGTCCTGTGGTGTTTTGCTTGGTTTTGTTTTTTACCAGCATGAATTTTTGCTAAATGACTGTACTAAATTATTCCCTCCTTTCACTTTTACTGCTCTTAATGTAAAGTTCTTCTCCCTAATCTAGTCAGATTAATCCTAAAATGATGTATTGTCAGTGGGAGGCCATCCAAACCATACAATTATTTCTGCTCTGATGGTAAAGAACTCATGTTCCATGTAAGCTAAGCTGTCTATAATTTAACTAGCCAGAGATTTGCTTTCAGTTTGCAGGCTTCTATCTTTCTTTGCTTATGGGATTACCCCCACAGTCTTTGTACTTATAAAAAAAGTTTAACTAGCAAACCACATTAAATATTATCTAACTATTCCCAGGCAAGGATATTTGCAAATCAGTCAACCATGGCTGTGAACATGCTTGTGTTAATGCTGGTGATTCATTTGTTTGTAAGTGTCAGGAGGGATTCCTGCTAAGAGAAGATGGAAAAACATGCAAAAGTAAGTAGTCTGATATTTACCAGCATACTTTGTATCTGCAGCTCATGCTTGTGTAGAAGTGCATTAATCAGCAAGAGCTGTCATCTCTTTGCAGATAAAGATCTTTGCAAATCAGTCAACCATGGCTGTGAACATGTTTGTGTTAATACCGATGATTCGTACATCTGCAAATGCCACGATGGGTTCCTACTGAGAGAAGATGGGAAAACCTGCAGAAGTAAGTAGCATGAGAACTTAATTTGATGAGTTACACATATAATCGAGGCCTCTGCTAATGTGTGCTGACTACCAACCCTTCTGTTTGCAGACAAGGATGTTTGCAATTCAGTCAACCATGGCTGTGAACAAGTTTGTGTGAATACTGAAGATTCCTACATCTGCAAGTGTCGGGAAAAATTCATACTGAAGGAAGATGGAAAGACATGTAGATGTGAGTAGCTTGAGCTGTAGGAGTATGTGGCTTTCAAGTGGTGTGACTGTGAGTGTTTGTGTTTGTTTGTGATTTGCAGCTATTTGAGCTGGTTAATAAAAGATACTGTCTCTCCCTAACAAACCTCACCTCACAAACTTCATCCACTCTTCTCAGATAAAGATGTTTGCAAGTCAGTTGACCATGGCTGTGAACATTCTTGCGTTAATACTAATGATTCCTATATCTGCAAGTGTCATGAGGACTTCATACTGAGGGAAGATGGGAAAACCTGTAGGAGTAAGTTGTTTAATATTTGTTTTGTACTACTTCCTGATCTGCTAATGAAACATGCAATGCAACGGTCGCGTGTTATTTGTGTCTCTAATATAGAATCAACTTCATGGAAGTGAGCGCCTTCATGGAAGATTATAGCCATAATTTTTACATTTTGTGAAAGTTATTCACCTAGCTAACTGTGCTAAATATAGTTTTCATTATTCCAAGGTAAAAATATCTGCAAAGCAGTCAACCATGGTTGTGAACATGTCTGTGTTCCAACTGGCGATTCATACACGTGTCAGTGTCACAAGGGATTTATATTGAGGCAAGACAGGAAAACATGCAGGAGTAAGTAGCTGAAACTTTTTATGGGGAATGTTTTTTCAGTCATAAAAGAAATAACAGGCAATTTCAATCAAAGCCTGTTCATGCCAGTTTTGCATTTGAGAAATGCTCTAATAAGGAAATTCTCTTAACAATTCTCAGGTAAAGATCTGTGTAAATCCATTGACCATGGCTGTGAACACGTGTGCATTAATAATAACAATTCATACAGCTGCCAGTGCCACGAGGGTTTTGTCCTGCGACAAGATGGGAAAACATGTCGAAGTAAGTAGCTCAATGTATCTGTCAGCCACTCTTCTCTGGCATTGCTACATAAATGAGCAAAGATGTTATACTCCTTTGTCATACTTTCTTCAAATATCATGTTTGGAGTCTTTGAATTTATAAATATGTTAAATAGACTACATATAAATATTTCCATTTCTCCTAGGTAAAGATGTCTGCAAATCAGTTGCCCATGGTTGTGAACATCTTTGTGTTAATAATGACGATTCATACATCTGCAAATGCCCGGAGGGATATGTACTAAAAGAGGATTTGAAAACATGCAGAGGTAAGTACAATTTATTTAGAAAGCATTTGTTTCTTTGATTTCTAAAATTACTCGACCTCACTTCAAAAAATGCCTCACTTCAAAAATTATGTAATATTTGAAAGACCAAAGCATATGTGAGTGTGATGGAAAATGTCTTGAACAATTAAGTTGATGCTCTTGTAAGCAAAATGCTAACAAATTGGAACAGTTCTATTGGTGTAGCATCAAGTACAATGATAATTCTTTACAAGCATCAGGAAAAAAGCCAAAGTGAAACCTTATTAGCAAGGAATGTGCACTTTAATCAGATTCATATACTGTGGAGCTTTTAGCTTTATATACTCCATTTTAAAAAATCGTTAATTCTGTTTGTTTAGCTTCTAACATGACATGCTTAAGAGTATGGAATGCATTTAGCTGATCACCCCGTGACACTTGGAGGAGAAATTCTTCTGCTGGAACTCAAAAACATTTATTCTGAAAAAATGGATGCCTTAGTTGGGGAGACTATTATAACCAAAAGAATAATAACGTGTTCATGGCTCACCTCAATCCTGACTAAAACCATTCACCATGGACTGCTGCCCTGCCTTGACTTACGCAATGATATTGAGGTGGTTCTGATATTCATATTCATTGCATTTCCATCGCCTTAGTACGTGACACACGTCTTTTCCTCAGATGACTGCAGAAAGGAATTCTTAGACAGCAGTTTTAAAATAGAGCTATTGTCTAAGAAGAAAAGCTCAAGCTTTAAAGCTGAAAATTCCTTATTCCTACGCTGACTTGGTAACAGACATCTTCAGTAATTTCTGCAGTCAAAGTAATTTCTGCTGCACAATTCTCTTTTGTATAGTGCTTACAGCATTGTTACTGTACAAACATCAGAGATGAGAGGAGGTCCGAGTTCATTTGGTCCAGACTAAGATGCAAATCTTACATTCCTTAGTCTGGCAAATTTTCCCTGGAAGTTACATTGATCAGAGAGGAGCTGAGCATCTCTGCAGCCAGCCCCTTGCACAAAGCGCACTAGTCTATGCCTGCTGGAGGCAATTGCTTTCCAGAATAAAAAAAAAAACCCACCTGGCAGAACCAGTCTGCAGCTTCAAAGACATTCTCCAGTCCCTAAATTCCCTAACCTTGTCGTGGATGCGTGGGGCCCACAAACTCCTTTGATTTTTGCGTGTGCACTTGACAAAAAGTGTGAGAACTCCAAATTTGTCAGTATCCTAACAAACTCCCAGCTTCAATGTTTAAACAAGAAAAGGTTAATTTCAGCAATACATAAGCCTTCTAAGTACAAGACTTAGAGTTACAAGGAAAAAAAAACTTTTATAAAAAAATTCTGATCGATGTTTAGCATCTAGGGACATTTCTAGCGTTTACTCTCTCACCTAGAGGTTTTTTAGCTGTTTTTCTCCCACTAGAGGTTTAAGCTGCCCACAACATCTTTAGACACACTGGCAAAGTTGCGTGAGCCAGGAACAAGGTACTCTAGATGATCTTCGAGTTTATGGAATCTCTGGGTATCCACATCCCTTTTCTAGCTTTGTGGAGTTTTTCATGATCTGAGATCTCTGTTGCTTATTTCACAGGATGCACTGAAGGGCCACTTGACCTGGTGTTCGTGATTGATGGATCAAAAAGTCTCGGAGAGGAGAATTTTCAAATTGTAAAACAATTTGTCTCAGGAATCTTGGATGCACTTGAGATTTCACCCAAAGCTGCTCGGGTTGGTTTGCTTCAGTATTCCACGGAAGTGCGCACAGAGTTTACGTTAAGGCAGTTCAGCTCAGCCAGAGACATGAAGAAAGCTGTATCGCAAATGAAATACATGGGGCGAGGTTCCATGACAGGACTGGCTCTGAAGCAAATGTTTGAGAGAAGCTTCACAGAAACAGAAGGAGCAAGACCCCTTTCAGCAAATGTCCCTCGAATCTCCATTGTGTTTACAGATGGACGAGCCCAAGATGAAGTCTCCGAGTGGGCTGCTAGAGCAAAGCGAAGTGGTAAGTGGAGATGTTTTTGACTCATTCTAACAGGCAAATAGGGTTAGAAACAAGATGTAATAGTGTGGATGTGCTACAGTATGTGCTCATCAAGAGAGCATTCGCCACCACAGTCTGGTTAGTACAGCGACCACTGCAGCAGAACGCCAGATCTTTGGTGTTCACCGGAGCCTTTGCTACAGGGCACGTTTGTCATCCCTAGTGTGGGACCCGTGGTGAGTGTCTGACCGCCCGCTGGGGTTCTGTGCCCTCCATGGGTAGGGGCACTACCCACCTGGCAGACCATGCCCTGAACATATCCACTACAGGCAGACATTTTATACAGGGATTTGGGAACACTGGGAACTTCATCAAAAATTCAAAGAAAGCAATAAAAAAACCCGTACCTGTCTCTTCAAAATACAGAAATCTATCCTCCTGAGAAATACTAAAGTCATAATTAGTTATATTATCTTTTTGTTTATATATATTCTGTATTTTTAACCCAATTGATAGTGCTGATCGTGTTCTGGAAGGAAGATGGGTCCACTTTACAAAAGGATATAGCTGTAGTGCTGTCTTTCTGTTTCTATGTGCTTTATCAGGTGATACGCTGAAATGTAACTGAGAACTGGTGATTTTTAATTTAGAATATGTGTAGCACACCTGTACTACAAATCAGAAACTTTCCAGCTGTTTAGCAGAGTCAATGGAAGATTTTCAAAGCTTTTCAAGAAAACTAAGAATCCCTTTTTTCTTTCAAAACATTTTCTATTTTATGATAAACTGCTTTGAGAACCATGGCAGATGGCCTACAACACAGAGAAAATAGCCAGATGTCAGAATATGCTGCATATTTTTTTCTGTTCTTGTTTTATTGATTTGATACATCAATTGTAACTTGATGCATGATTAGTATAGCATTATTCAGGACTGATACGTCTCTGTAAGGAGAAAAGGGAAAAGTGTCCAAGGATATGAGAAGAGCATGTGCCAACAAGGGTGCCATTACAATGAAATGTAAACAAAGTGGTTTTTAAAACGTTAAAAACAAAACCAAAGATTTATATGCTAACTAGTGAGATCTGGGTAAGTACATGGAGGATTTACAGGACAGAAGAAGGAAAGAAGTACAAGCCAACCCTGCTTTCTTGCTGAATGAAATCTCAGCTCCGGACTGCTTACACTGATATTTGTAATGCTACAAGCCAAATCCTTCCCCTGTGCAATTGCAGTGTAGGCAGTGTAGTAGTGCTGAATATGAAATTGGCCTTGCATGCTTTATCACTGATATCTCCAAGTCTTTAAAAAGCAACAGACCTCAGCATGACTGGTGTATTCATTATTCTGGTGAATGTTTTACTTTCCTGGCTAAAGCGCAATGGTAAGCAGATTCATGACAAAAAGTAAGGAGATGCTCACGTTAAACGTTAAAGAGGTGGAAAATGCGTCTTTTATGATGTTATCATGTCCAGGATTTTTCAGCAAAAAGGTTAAAGTTGCAATTCAGTGAAGCTGTTATTGCCCTGTGATAATAAAGAGGTATCAAACCTCCTCATCCTAAGTTTTACCTGGGACTAGCCAGCTGAGAAGGCAGCTTCTGCTCTTGAATTTTATAAAGAGCTTGAAACTGTGAAGCTAAGAGCTGCATTATGAATCACAAAGTCAGTACTGGTTGGGGATGCTTTCCAAGCCAGAACTGATGTAAAGAGAAATGTTGTATCAGATCATATGTTCAAGAGAATAAGAAAATAACTGCTGGACAAGGGGATATTGAAGATCACTGTGTTATTCATTGCTTGTTTAAAATCTGTCTGGTGAGAGGGCTGTGAACCACTTCCTCCTGCCCTGCTTTCAGAGTGGACAAAACTACAACTTTTTCCCTAGTACATCTGCTGGGGAAACGCATGCGATGTCCCAAGCATCCCTGTTGTAAGGCGCTCTCTCTCCTAGCCCCACAAATCATTTTTTTCTACTATCCTTACCCTCGCAGGTCTGGGTGCCTTTACAGTGCCTCGCACTCCACTAGTGTCCCTTAGAGTGCAAGAATTTAGTCCCAATGTACTCTGAAGATTTCGATGACACACTAAGCTTTTATGTTTTTTTTAAAAAAATGACTGCCACCTTTCAGGATTTCGCCCCTTTTGCTAATGTATAACAGATGTTCCCATCAACCCAGTAATTAACTTTATTGCACACACCCTACATACAGAGACACACAAACCAGGACCTTTCAGGGCAACTGTGAGGCTGATTCATGTGAGTCTCCCGGATGTTTTGCAGTACTCTTTTGGGGTTCATTTACTATCAGTAGTGGCCAGATAACTGTTATCTCTTTAACTTAAAAACTATCTGTTAAATTACAGCTAAGCAGTGACTTTCTACACATCTCTCAATCACTAAAGCATATTAAGCCTGTTCAAAACCAATCCTGAAGTTACAGAGCATCTACATTTCTTGTGCTGTCTCTCTGACTAATGCTCATATTTTCCTTTCCTGGAAGAACAAGGGTTTAGAACTGCTCATGTAATAATTATGTGCAATTTCTTTTGAATCTAGGTATAATTATCTATGCCATTGGAATAGGAAAAGCAATTGAGGAAGAACTTCTGGAAATTGCTTCTGAGCCATCATATAAACATCTCTTCTATGCCGAGGATTTCACAGCTATGGAGGACATAAGTGAAGAGCTAAGAGCCCAAATCTGTGAAGGTAACAGTATTCCACTTTCCTTGAGATATAAGCATTCATTCCTTTTCTAGGTTTTTTTGCAGGCCTAAAAGGACAAATAATGTCAAAGGATAATAGGCCATAGATCATTGGTGTGGGACATTGCAAGGCATGAGTCACAATAATTTTTCTGTCCTTTAATGTGTGAGGAATATATACCCTTAACCTATCACCAGGCAAAGGTGGAATAATAGTCTTTCCTTTATTTTCATAAAGGTTGCATAAAACGTATACGTCTGTACCCAGAAGAATCAATTGCTCCCTCCTCTTTCTACAGTTAAGTCAGCCATGCACTGAACCCCACCCCACCAAAGCAGCATGATCTGCTTCGTTAGGAATGTGGGAAAATAATCAGGGATTTGTAATGTCTTAATGAGAATAAAAAATTACTCTTAAGACCATTGGCAAAAACCTAAACCACAGCAAAACAAATCATCAAGAGCTGTTTTGCATATTTATAGAAGATAGTTGATTGAACATACCTCCACAGCTACAAAGAGTGGATCTCAGTTATGCATAAGCTCCAAGTTCTGCTTCACAAATGTGGAAGGTTTGTCCCAGAAAGCACCCTTCCTCACTCTGGCACTAACAGGCTTTATATAAACATTCCCAGCTGAACTTTTGCAAGGGGAAGAGGGAATGTGAGCTGGGATGAAAGCTGTTCAGACAGAGAGAGGACAGACAGTATGTCTCTCCCACTCACACATTCCCAGGACTTGGTATTATTTGTACATTCAAATTGGTACCTGAAGCAAAATTCAGAAACATCACACTGAATAATATTAGTGATAGCACTAGAATTGTGCAAGATTATTTAGTTTTCACTAGCTTTTATTTGGTTGATTTTCTTGGAATTAAATGCAAACAGGTTTTATTTTCTTCTCTAACGTTACTGTGTAGAACAGGCAAGCAGCCATGCATTTCTTCCTCATACAGATGTCAAGGAAAAACCTGAAAAAAAGAATCTGAGAATATCTCATAGCTTGTATATCCTTTTTGTTTCAGTCCTAAGAAGTCCTAGTTCCATCTTTCTGGAATACAAAATGCTATGATAACATGAAACCAAGTCTGTTCAATTAACCTTCTTATTAGGCAGATAATCTGCTGATGACAGCATGGAATCTTAAAAGCTTGGGAGACACCAAAGCCAAAACTATCTGGCAACTGGTACAGTAATTCTCACTCATTAGCAACCCCCAGAGCTCGGTGATGGAAATGCATCCTTCAGGTACCCACAGCAGTAAACCACGATTTTTTTTTTTTAAACAGTACTTACCATATGAAAAATAAGTAAATCCTGCCCCTTTGTGGCAGTTTCTAGACTACACCTCTAGTAACGGGCAGAGCTGGTGCCTCTCAGCTTCTGTCCTCCTCCTCCTCCTCTCTCAGCACACGCAATGCCTCACACCTGTGAACCGAGGGCCCGCCTTCTCTGGACACTCCAGAACTACCTATTGCTCATCAACTCACTCCACCAGAAATTCTGCCTCCAAACCTGTTACACAAGCTGAAAGTTCCTTTTCTAATTTTTTCCTCTGTTTTGGTTTACAGCCTAAAACTTTTCCCTCCTTTGCAACAGCAGTAATTTCATTTTTACAGTAGCCTTGGTCCTTAGCTGAGGACTTCTGAGGCTCCAGCCTGTGAGGGCAGGGGGAGACCCTCTGAACCTCATGGAGCCCACTGACAAAGCCCCTCTCATCCCCAGTCCTAACTGTTTCCAAGTAAAGTAGAAGACCTCCAAATCTTTTTTGGGGTAAGCCTTTTCCTTTTATTTTGCAAGAAAGCATCAGCCTTATAGCTGCTGATTACTATGAATTATTCTTGATAACTACTATTTAAAAAAAAAAAAAAACTAAACCTGACTTTCTCTTTTGCCTCTTATTAAGAGGAATTCAGTCAGAAGGTTCTCATTCATTGCCTTGGCTAATGTTTATTTCTCATCTGACTGGAAGCACTAACGAGGCTACAGCAATGTCACACAAATACGCATTCATCATGATTGCCTCTTCACCCCTGCTCTGAGCGTGTGCTTTATGGGAGCCCTTAATTACATGGTCACATACTATTTTCATCATAAGACCCCAGCCCTGATTAGATGACAGTACTCGGCAACCTGATGGTTAATATTCTGTTCTCCTTCCAAAACTGCAGATCGTTATCCCTGCTGCAAATAGTCAGCCACTGCTTTTGAAGACACTTTCTCCCAGGCTTTTCCTAACACTGTCCTTAGGTTTTGTTACAAAACAGAACACTAACTTTAGCATTGTTCCCCAACATACTTGAATATTTATGTTCACTGCAGTGACTTCACCAAGGGACTCAGGGTTAGCAGCCTCTGTCGCTACTTGTCTGATTATTCATAGCTGTAAAGGTGACGAGATCAGAAATTTTTGGGCCCAAACCCATTTCCAAAGCCTGAAGGGGAGTTTCTGAAACACCTGATTCCCATCCCAAATGGGAGACCTTGTGCCACACCTCTAGCAGTGTATCTATCAGTCTTCTTTCCTGCTCCTTACATCTGAATCTTAAATACTTGTCTATACTAGCCCAGTGCCCAAAGCTCAAACTCTTAAGATCAGTTCCTCTGCCCTTTCTAGTCAGCCTCCTCATTAGCCTACAGCTCTTAATCAACTTCCAGAGCAAGTCATTACAAAGGGTCAAACACTCAAGGTTCATCTTATCTGTTTCTTCCCTTCTACACCGTAAAGCTCACCATCCTTGTTCCCAGTTGATCATTCTTCTGCCAGACTCCACACCCAGTTTGTTTCATTCTTCACCTCGTCATCTCATCCCACGCCTCTCTGCCCCGAACTCTTCTACAAAAGCTGTGTTCCTTCCACCAGCGGGTTCCCACAGACTTTTTGAATATTGTAGTTCTGACCAGTGAACTCTGGTCTTCGTCCTCAACCACTCACCTCTGCTCATTCCCTGCTCCTCATGCTCAGTCATCCCAGCCCCCACCCCGAGAGTCTCGCCTCCTTCCCAGTGCGACTCAGCACAGCTGTGTATTATTGTGCATGTCAAAATCCAGGAGACCAAGAGATCCCAACAGCAATAGCAAACTTGTGAGGCCCAGAAGCACCTCACCCTCACACATTCACTTTCAGTGAAGGAACTCTGGGTATATTCACAGGGAGGGAGTCCCAGATGCTCCACCTGCTCCCTTGGCATATTTGATCAAGTTGTGCAGTTGTTAAATGTATGTTCTTCAGCTCATCTAGGTCATGAAGGGCTCCACAGTTAATTCAAAATGAAGCATTTATTTTCTACACCTACCTCTCAAATAGGTTTCCATTTCTCTACAGACACTGTTTGACTAAGATGGTTATGTGGAGTCTGAAATAAATTCCTAAAGGCTGTGCTTCAATAATTAGAAACTTGTATTTTTGCTTCTAACTGTAGTGCATCACATAAACCATACTGCTTCCTTCTCACCTAAACGCTCCTCAACTCCCTGATCAATGGTTCCCATTATAAAGGAGAAAACTGAAGGGAGAGCAAGAAATTTCTTCCTTTTCCAAGCAGTTTTTATTCTTATTCAGTTCACTCCAAAGGTCTGATGGAGGAGAACAAAACATGCAAGAATTTTCACTAAAGGACACAAAGTAGGTTGCCATCATTTCAGATTGCTTCACTGTTAACCTGTCTGTAAAGCACTTGTGCTTTTGGAAGAGTTCCTTCTGACAGTCTGAGTTGAAGAGCGAGTCCTGGAGTCTCCATCAACACTGGACCTCTTCTAAACTGCACAGGTATGAGGCATTCTCCATGTGTATGAGAGAGAAATACTGAGTTACGGGTAAGAAACATCTTTGTTTCTAGGCAATGTGAACATTTTTCTTGCTCCTTTTGTGATCTTGTTTCCTTCGGCAATTTCTTTCTACCAGCCTTGACAGAGTCAGCTCACCAGCAGGAGAGGCTTCGTAAGACTGGTCCACAGCCTTCAGGTTGGTTAACTCAGTGCCCTGCTGTCTCCCCAGATGATTGCAAAGTTGCCTCTTCACGCTGCCTTGTATAGAGAACCCTAACAATTCACCTAGGAGAGAACTTTCATCCCATTCCCCTTCCTACCCCCTCAAGCCACCCTCCTTTCTGCAATTCAGATTTGCTTTGTACAGAAATGTCCAATTCACTGTAACAAACGCATGGCTGCATGATTCTTGCACCATCCAAATGAATTACTTCATGGGGAAACTTGTATTTCAACACTGTGCTTGGTACTTCAAAGCATGTTCAGCTTTCAGGCACTTCACAACTCCCTTTCAGTGGTGCAACCCCCGCCTTAAACCACGTATACAGTAAATACAGCTTAAGAGCTCAGTTCCTTCACATGCTTGTAACCCTAGTCCTCTCCATGAATGATCCTCACTGGAATCAGTGAGATTACTCAATAATTAAGGAGAAGTCAGTGCATGTGAGTAAAAAAAAAAAAAAATACTGTATAATTAAGTGAAGAGGGTTTGATTTTTAGACTTTTGGGGGGTTTCCTGCAGGACCTGAATCAACCACGATAGCCATCACAGATGTCATTGCCTGTCCCAATCTTGCAGTACACCACAAGTATCTTTTTGAAGACAGTCACACTCACTCAACGAGAACAACAGGTAATCGGGTTACATTTGTTTAGACTAATCCAGACTGTTCTTTGAACATACAGGCCTAAGTGTTGTGTACTATTTTCCAGTATTTACAATATCTGCCCCAGAGTATTCCTTTGGATGTTGACCTGTTTTGAGAACAGGAAGCTGTATTAAACCTGCTCTGCATTTATAAGTCCTTGTCACTTCCTCCCCCATCCCATTTGATTTATTCAGCATTTAGCCTATACTTGACTGTGTCTGTTTTTCAGCAAAAGCTTCAAAAGATAAAGACCAGTGCAAATGTGAAAACCTTGTGACATTCCAGAACTATGCAACCAATGAAGTCAGAAAACTCACCCAGCGATATATCCTTTCAGAATAATTGTTTCTTACATATAAGACAAGGGGTGCCAGTTAAAAGAAACTATAATTATAATGCATTAAGTCTAAGCTGTCTCCATAGCTCAAATCCATCTACTGTAATGAAAAGCTAAATGACTTAATAGATTATGTTAAATCTCCAAGAAGCAAGGCTTTTAAGACTTGCCTCTCCTTCATCAAAGGGACCAAAATATTAATAAGGATCTTAACTTTGCATAATCCCTAACAGTAAACACTTTCAAGGACAGCAAAGAAATGACTGGTCAAATTCAAGACTCTGCTGGCCAGTCCACGTCCCAGGGATCTGGGTGGGGGCAGAGAGAACTGGCTACAAAACTAGCTCTAGTTACAGAATATAAATTTAGAAGGACCAATCCAAACTGTTGATGATTTGGATCCAACTACATCTAACTTTTTCTATCAGTAGATGAATGCAGTTTTTACTGCTTGAATCTTGCCTCTGTAAATACTTGAGAAACATTGATGCTGCCTAGAAAACAGCTCAAATGATGCTAGCATCCATAATAGTAATCCCTTCTGCATCACAAGACAGTTGAGGAATTACCAAACATAAACCTGCTGTACAGGCAGGCTGGTCCCCACAGAAGCAAAAGACACTCACTCCTGCTCCTTACTGGCAAGAGGCTAGATTCTCCTGCTGTCAGTGTGATGGGGCTGTCCTGGACAAATTCAGAGGCTGAATTCAATTTGCCTGTCTACCCTTACCAATTTCTAACAGCCCCTTGTTGAAGATCCCACTTTTATATGCCCAGTTCTCCTTTTTTCTTCTTGTGTAAGGCCTTAGAACATTGAAATCAAGACACTAGACAAACAAGCAAAGACTGAGGTGCAGCAACTTAGTCCTTTTAAGGTGGGCATCAGTGCCTTCAGTTCTCTCTTGATGCTAGGTCCCCTCTTCCTCCCAGCTGCCCCTAGCTCCAGCCTTACCATAGCTCTTGGAGAGGCGGTCAGGGAGATGGTGCCGACCCCACCTCCTCCTGCAGCA